TAAAAATTTGCTTAATTACAGATGGTATTGGAATTACGCAGAGTTACGTCAGTTTCGAGACTAGAGAAGTGAACAACGAATGCCTGGTGGTAAAATCCCGTATACACGTTACATACGAATATTTCTTCGATTTGGTCGGAATGAAAACTATTTCGACAATTTTCTTTCATGGTTTCTTCTTTAAACAAGCCTACAGAATGCGATACCATATAGGAAATTTGCGTCACTTTAAGAACTTTTTATAAGAACGCAAGCATAGTGCGTAGGAAGTACGTTTGGCTGCTTATTTTTAAATTTTGATGACTAATTATAATTATTATAATTATACTTATAATAAACTCGGGATACTTAAACCTAATTTTTGAAATAAGAACGAACCTTCTAACTTTCTCAATTTCTTTATAATACTTCATTTTAGTCAGAAATCGTGCGTTTTTAGAAAAACTCGCAATTTTCAAAATTGAAAGTGATGAAACAATCTCGATTAGGGATTCATCTTCAGCAAAGTAAACTCTGCAAGAATTATCCGATGCATATTATAGATTAAAATTGGTGTCGAACAGTGTAATCAATTCTTTAGTATAGTAGAACTCCGTTTATCCAATAAGGTGCATCGGATAACTGGATTTGTCGGATAATAGGTATAATTGGAGCATAATCGGAGTTAATTGTCATATATCTAGATTTCGCTGTTCATTTAAACATTTAGTCGCGTAATCTGTGTATCTCATAGACTAAAATTGGATAACAAGAGCTTACAAGTATACTATTCGGCTAACCAGGTACTATGATCACATTACTGCAGATAAATGGAATCCTACTGTATGTGTTTCTCTTTTCATTTTGTTTCATCCGAGAATTACCTCTGCAACTACCAGGACGTGGTAGGTTTAGTGTTCATCCTTCTGGTACATTTAGGATAAGACGTTTAGTTCCATGATGTAGATACGATGTAATAGACGAAATATCGATATAGTCGCGTGTGTTTGGTGTTTTAATATAAAAGCAATGTAGGAAAAGCGTGTGTGGCTTGTGCTGTTACACGCTGCACATGAGAACATTCTTCGTCACATTCCTAAGATACCCCTGTCGTTCACATTCCCAGAATTCTGCCAAATATTTGAAACCATTCTCAAAACTCCTTTATCGTTCCTTCGACACTTCTATCGTCCACGTTCCATGAAATAGCGTTCACACTGCTTGCGACAACGGAAAACGACATCGTCAAGCTGTCAGTTAGTTTCCTTGTGAGCGTCAATCCGTAAACCTCTTCGGAATAAAAGCTTTATCTGCTCAAAAGTCGATTTACTCTCGACCTTCGCTACGTTTCTCAGATTTATATTACTGCACGTTGTTTCCAAACGTTTTATAGGAAACAAAGATTATTCCAAAAATTAATTACAAAGATATAAAAATTAATAACGAAGATTAGTGCAAAATTAATTGCAAACAGATAAATTATTCTTTATTATTCGCAAATCCCTTATACTGGTGACAAAATGTTTTATATAATAATTTTATTTGCTTCAAATTTTTTAATGCTTGGTTTGAATAATAATAATTGAGGCGCGAGATATTTTGTTTATAACATCATATCTGCGACATCATGGAACTGTCAATAGGATATCCCATTTTTGACAACGAAAAGGGTAAGATGAAGTTTATATATGGTGCTCAAAATTTACGCAATATTTCAATTTTGTGCCATTTATGTGGTAAAGTGTTGCCAACGAAAAAAGAAAGTCAGCATGACAGCTGACACTTCAGAGTTATTAAAAATGAAACGTTGCATGAAAGAGCAACTCGTCTTTATTTTTTAGCAATATTTTCAATTTTTGATTAAAAACCTATTTTCTGTTGTCAAAATGACTTCTTGCGTGAATTTTGGTACATCCAATAGGAATAAACGTGATAGGAAATGGTTAAAATGAATACATATTTTTATATTTTCATTA